TTAAATCCCAGCCCACTTCAGGTGAGTTATTTAACTTTTCTGGGTTTTATTTGTAAAATGAGGATAATAATGGTATCGATCTATAACAGATGGTTCCTGTTGAGGAGACAGAACCACACAAAGTATATCTCAACAAGAGGAAGTTAATATAAAGAACTGGTTTCCCAGGTGCTGGAAGGCTGGGTGAGAAGAAAAGGAGTGCTAAGGCAATCACAGGTGGTAACTGGAGGACTCAGGTTCCATCTCCAGGGCAGGAGGAACAAAGCGAAGTGATTGGACCATCAGAAGCTGGACTTGTGGTGGAAAAGACCTGCTGCTAAGTCTGTGGGGGCCTGGGAAGCTGATTCTAGGCTGTGAAAGGGTGCTGGAGAGGGTGGGCCCAATGGCTGGTGCAGGGTAAATGGCCATTGCTGGAGGGGATGCTGCAAGGAACCAACAGCAAGCAAAGAAGAGAAAATCTTCCCATTCCAGCCCTCAGTCTCCTTCTAGTGCCCACTGTTGGCAGAAATGAACAGAAACTCTGCTGCCAAAGAACTGATATGTAGGGCCCAAGCTCCAGCCATTAAGCCAGAATAGAGAAAGGTCGACTGGGAGCTGGGCAAAATGGTATAATATGGCTCATGAGGCTAAACGACTTAACGTTTATAAAGTGCTTAGAAGAGTGACTGGCATGTAGGTGATAAGTGCATTTAAAATAAATAAATAAATCCAGCAAAACACAACATGAGAAGTGATGTTAGGATCCCAGTTTTATCCATGAGAATGGTGAGGCTTAAAGACATCACATAAAATACTCAAAGTCACCCACTGGTGGAGTCCAGACTATGTAGATCTAAAGGTGTTCACCTCTATGAGCCTCTTTGCACAACAGGAGAGATTTTCAAAAGTGCAATAAAAGTGAACAAGAGAGACAGAAATAGCAGTTTGGAGGCATCAGGAGGGTGGGTAAGCTGCTGGTTGGGACTCTGGGAAGACTCATTGGGGGAGATAATGTTTGAGTGGAATTGTAAAGAACAGATAGGACTTCAACTGGCAGATGCTGGAAGCAGAGGAAACTGCTGAGCAAAGGCCCAGAGTTCAGGGCACATCAGCAGAGTGATGAATATGCAGATTAGGAAAAAATGAATGATTCTCGTAATTCTCCTTTGCTGAAAAAAAAAAGAGTTGGTGTTTACAAATATTACTAGCAGCAATAGGAATTTAAAGAGTTCTTTGGGTGCAATCGTAAACATTAAATGTTGTGTAGAATATTATGAATAAGTGTGTGAAGCAATGGGATTAACTGAAAGATAATGAATTTTTTAAATCACCTCCTTTTCAAAATCTGTGTGTAAGGTCACTAACATCTGGCTTCAGAAGACAAGAGTTCTTGTTTTAAGACAGCTGAGTTAAAAATCTAACTTGAAGCCACTTTGTGCCCTTTTAACAATGTACCAAATTTAATGTCTATTAATTCCACTTTTGGAAGGTTATGTACAAATTTGAACCATAATTATATTTAATTCAACAAACTGAGTTAGTTCTCAGTAACAGACACTGTCCCAGGTACTGGAGATGCAAAGAATTATAATCGTGGTTCCAGTCCTCAAGGAATTCATAATCTAGCAGGGAAACAGGTAGATATTTAAATCTCTGTAATCACAATAGAAAAGCAAACGTATTAACTAAACCTGGAATGTGGAACCATTGGTTGGAGGGGAGGGAATGAGATTCCTTCTCTGCCATCCCAAGAAGCATCATTACAACGATGGCAGAAGTCAGTAAATGGGATACGAAGGGAGAGGGGCCAAGACAAATTATGGAGACCCATTAGTTCTATATAGTGCTGGACCAGATCACCCGATCACAAGCCAACTTCCTGGCTGGCTAAGGAAGTCAGAGTTGTGTGGAGTTGGAAGAAGTTCTGGAATGTTTCCATGGTTCTGATCCTGGTCTCTGAAATCCTATATTCAGCTCTAAAAGTAAGGAAGTTGCCATGAAAGCAGAGATGGAAACCACACGTGCCAATAATAACAGCTAACAGTTTCTGAGCACCCACTACGGGCTAAGCACTTCAACAGAAAATGAGTATTATATTTAGACTTCTAGTTAGTGGTCCCTAGGAACCATTCTCCACTTCTTCTTTTCAATAATAGACTCCCCACTGAGTTTTAGTAGAGCACATACATGTCTTTTTCACTAAAAACAATATTTTCCAGCCCTCCCTGTAGCTTGATGTGAAAGCGTGGCTTAGTTTTTACCAATGGAATATGAGTAGAAGTAATATATATAACTTTCATGTCACTTCCGTAAAATAGATTTGCTTTGGCTGGGCATGGTGGTTCACGCCTGTAATCCCAGCGCTTTGGGAAGCTGAGACAGGAGGACTGTTTGAGCCCAGGAGTTCAAGACCAGCCTAAACAACACAGTGAGACTCTGTCTCAATTTAAAAAAATAGATTTGCTTTCCCTCTGTTTCCTCATCTCCCCTTTCCACGGCTGGAATGCTAACATGGTATTAGTGCTGTGTAGAGATGGGCAACACCTAGAGAAGAGCTCAGCTGCAAAAGAGAAAACCTGGGACCCTGGACAACTCTACAGAACTGAGAAGACACCTCCTCTGGCTACTGCCTTCTGTCACTGCTCCTGGTGGACCTGCCTTTAATACATTTCTTTTCCTGTCACCAAAGAATAAACACACACACACACACACACACACACACACCCCGCACACACAAAATAACATTGTAGAATTATGCCTGGGTTAAGAGAATGTAGGCCACAGGTTAGGACATGTGAGAGACTTTTATGTGTAAACTGTACAAGCTTTAGTGAATTGATGCTATAAAAATTATATTTGCTTGTTTGGAAACCTTTACTGTTTACATCCTGGTTTCAAATGACAGCAGTTACCTATTAAATATCCTCCAGGGGAGGGAAAGGTCATTGTATTGAGCAAAGGCAAACTGGTTCAACAAACAGTTTTCAATTATTTGTGTGTGCTAGTTACCAAAGTTGGAAACACACATGATCTCTGCCCTCAAAAGATGTTATTTGACTGGTGGGAAGAGGTGCCAATATAAAAACAGTGTTGAGATGATTTAGTAAATACTATTGGTTGCACACAATCACACATCTGACACAAACTGGTTTAAGGTGGAAAAAAATATATATAATTTATAAGTTTACGTAAATTTGTGGTCCAAGAGTAAACCTGGCTTTAGAGATGTAAACCCTACTGGATGAGACTCTCCACTGATGGGGCCTGGAAATCTGTATTTTTGCCCCATCCTTATTCCCTACCAGGTAATTGTAAATCTGTTTTGGACAGGACTATTTTTCTGGAGATCATTCAAGTTGAAAAATGGATATCACACAGGGAGGGGAGAGACTTCAGGAGGAAACAATTATTCCTGAAGAGATGAGGGAATCCTGAACTCAGGCAGGAGCAGCCCTTAGCACATAATGCACCATGATCTCTGCTTGGCACTTACAACAGGGCTAATGCTGGTGACGGGGAGCTTTGAAGGGGCATCAGTAGAGGACCGTGCCACCTGTCTGGCAGTAAGTCTAAGGATTCACGATCCTTATGAAAGTGGCTGTCACTTCCTTCAGTTCACCTAACAACAATTTATTGTGCAACTACAATAGGAGGCAGTGAGGACACAGGTTCACAGGCAAAGAGCCTCTCCTCATGAAGCTTACATTCTAGACAGGAAACAGTAAACAATCAGAAAAACAAGCTCACTACTGACTGTGGTAAGGTGTCTAAAGAGAAAAACCTCTTCACTCTATAGTCCCTAGTGCAGGCTGACATTGCATGGAATAGCGGTAAGGCCTTTGAGTTGACATCTTAGTGGAGACACGAGAGATGGGAATGAAGCAGTGGTTGGAAGGCTGGAGTATGAGACTTCCAAGCAGAGGCAATGCCAGTACAAAAGCCCTGCACTGGGCGGGAGCCGACTGGGGTGAAGACCCAGGGAGGAGCAAGTATGGCCAGAGCTCAGTGAGAAGGGGAGAGTAGAGTGGGATAAGCTTGAAGAAGCTGGCAGGAACCAGTCTATGGGAGACCCTGCAGGCCCTGAAAGTTTGGATTTTATTCCACACACAACAGAGTGTTGGCTTTAAAAGGAATCTCCTGACTACTGTGTGGAGAAAGAATAAAATTAAGTTTGGTGCTAGATAGACCGCAAGATCCCTGTCTGGCCCCAATGGGAAGCTCCACGGGGTCCCTGGGAGTCCTCCTAGTAACCGTGGCCCCTATATCAAGATGCCCAACAGGCGTATCTGCATACAAGTGGCTCTTGAACTGGAAATGTGGCTAATGTGACTGCAGACTGGATGTTACATTTTACTCTATTTAGATGAATTTATTTACATTTATATACCCACATGTGGCGAATAGCTATTGTTCTGGGCAGCACAAGGCAACACTGATCACCGAATGCCTGAGGATTTCTATCCAAATCCCGAAGGCGCGCCCTTCCCCGAATGTTGCTAGAGTGCGAGGGTATGCGACCCGTAAACGCAAATCCCCCTCTGTGCATTTAGTCTTGCCAAGATGGAGACTCTCAAGGGGGCATTCTGAGCTGCTTCTTGTCACTGGGGACAACCACGTGCACGCGGTGCTGAGGCGCCCCACGCGCGTCCTCAGGGGAAGCCAGGCACTGAGAACAAAGGTTTCGGGACCGCTCTTTCAGGAACGCACCAGCCCCGCGAGCTCGCGGCCGCCGGCGCGGTGCAGCCATTGGCGGGAGAGGACTCAGACCGCAGCTCCTCGCCCCGCCTGCTCCGCAGCGGGACCGCGTTTACCTCAGCTTCCCGGGCAGCGCAGGTGGGTCGGAGATAGAGCGGAACGAGGCAAACCACCACACGGCATTGAGGGTTCGGGGACCCCTCGCCACTCAGTCGCCTCTTTTTCACAGGGATGGGGGTGGGGGTGCCGCAGGCTGTCACCCGCACCGGATCTGCTTCCAAGGCTTGGTTTCGCTTTGCCTGGCGCTTGGCGAGGCCTGGCCCACCGCACCGAGCCCAGCAGGTGGCCGCCGGGGAACGCGGAGGTGGAGGGGTTGGGGGAGGGGCGACGGCTGGCGTCTTTAACCCTTTGGGAGCCCCTGCCCACCAGCGCCCCGAGGACGCGTCTCCGGCTCAGGCCCGGTGCCCCGCAGCGCGCGTGGGTCTTGGCTGGCTGGAAGGAGGCCCTGACCTTGCTTTCTCTCCCGTGCCAGGTTTGCACAAGGACCATGGGCGCCGCGCTGGGCACAGGCACGCGGCTGGCTCTCTGGCCGGGCCGGGCCTGCGGCGCCCTCCCGCGCTGGACACCCTCCGCGTCTGCCCGAGGCTGCCACTCCAAGTCCGGCTCGGCGCGCCCTGTGCCCCTGAAGAAGCGTGGATACGATGTCACCAGGAACCCTCATCTCAACAAGGTAATGGGCCCGGGAGCAGGACGGCCCGCGTAGCGATCCCGTGGCTGCCGGAAAATTGCGCCCCGCCCCCTGGACCTGGAAAGGATCCTCCCGGGCGCCCTTCCAGCGGTTTTTCTGTTTTTGCCTTGCAGGGGCTTGTTGTGACTTGATTTGGCTTTCTTGTCCCTCCTCTCCCCTTCATGCGTGGAGAGAGGCGACCAGTAATGCAGGGAGCCTAATTTCTTCTGCAGTAACACCATAGACCAGGTTTAGATCCTCGCCGTCAGTCTGACCTGGTATCAGCTCTCCCCTTGATGCTTACTAATTTTGTTGATCTTTTGCTGTTCATTTTACCTACGTGAGTCCAGGTTTCCTTATCTGTAAAAGAGATATAATTGTCTTGGGAATGTCGTGAGATCTAAAGAGAAAATGGGGGTAGAGGTCTTAGCACAGTACCTGGTACCCAGTGGGAGAAAAAAGTAAGGTTATGATTATTGTTCTGGGAAAAAGATTAATTTGCGAGCAGGGATGGGAAAGTCTAGACTTATAGAACTTTTCGAGCTTGCAGGAGCATGAGAGATCCTAGTTTAAACCTACGCTTTTACAAAAAACAAGACAAAGGAAAACTGCCCAAGGTCACCAGCTAGTTAGTTCTGGCTCTGCTACTGGAATCCAGATCTCCAGTGCTTTGGTCAAGTTTATCCCACTGCTAGCCCTTTTGTATTAACCTAAGAGTACACACATTTGTTTCTGGGAATTTAGTATAGTATCTTTGGTTCAGAGGATTGGGTGAGAGAAATAGAAGCAAGGGACTGAGACTTAAGTCCTGTCTCCCCCTACCTCCTCAAATTAACTTACACATCTCATTTAATTTATCTGAGGTTCAACTTTCTCCAGCCTAAAATAGGCATTATGATAGACCTGTCATTTCTACCTCATTTGGTTATTGTGACAATCAAATGAATCACTGAACTTGAAATCATATTTTAAACTTATAAAATGCTGAATAAATAACAACTACTGCAAAATAATTTTTTTTAGAACGGCTCTGACTCTGGATTGTGAGATTCAGGTGAGGCAATCTATGTGGAAAAGATGTTTTTGAGAAGTAGAAACCACTATATAATATGAAGTATTGTGATTGTTTCCTGCGGAATTAATAGAAGCAGCTAAGGAAAAAATAACAATCTCTGTCTATCACGTTGGACTCCTGTTCTTTCCAAAAGAAACCTTAAATTGTTTGGACACTACCACTTTTCAAAGTGTTCAAGGTGTTTGTTATCACCTTGAATTACTTTGCTAGTAAGCATTAGAAAATACAAACTGGCTTAAGCACACAAAAGGCTCCTTTAACTAAAGAATCTAGAGGAAGGGCTGCAGGCAGGAATTGAATCAGAAGCCCAGATGGCCTTGCTCAAGATGCAGATTCTCCCAGGCTGTCTACTCTGTACTCTGCCAGGTCAGCTTCATCCTCAAGCTCCATTCAGTAAGTCTCTCACCTCGTTATTGCCACAGTCCTCCATCTCCTATTCTCACACCACATCATCCAGGAATAGAAAGATACTTTTTTCTGGTAGCTACTGCGGAAGAGAAAAGACCCTTTCTCTGAAGCCTCAGAAAGCAAATCCTTCTTCCTTAATGACTCTGGTTAGAGTTTCTCTTCCCATTCCCAAACCAAAACCAATCACCAGTAACTAATGCCAGTCAGAGCCCACCCCTGGAGTTAAAATTAGAGTTTAAGGTAGGGCCACTTAACCACCAGGCTTGGAATAAAGGAATATAGATCCTCACATTAAATATGGATACTGTCATCAGAGGGAGGAGGAATGGATGTGGAAAGCAAAACAATAAATTCCCACTACAGGCTCCAGTCATTGTGACAATAATTGCCTTAAAAGTACTGCCATGTTACCAACCAGCACTTATTGCCTTGTGAATAGTTAAGAAAATAAAGGAAAATCTTTAAGCATTTTTTTAAAACCTAGGTTTTGGTCCTGAAATCACTCTTGCCCCTTTTGTTTGCCTCAGATGTAAATTTTTTCTCTCAAGTACTATAAATAAGGTGTTGATATGGTTTGGCTGTGTCCCCATCCAAATCTCATCTTGAATTGTAATCCCGATAATCCCCACCTGTCGTGGAAGGGACCCTGTGGGAAGTAATTGAATCATGGGGGCGGTTTCCCCCATGCTGTTCTCATGATAATGAGTGAGTTCTCACAAGATCTGATGGTTTTATAAGCACCTGGCGCATTTGCTCTGCTGGCTCACTCATTCTCTCTCCTGCTGCCTTATGAAGAGGTGCCTTCCACCATGATTGTAAGTTTCCTGAGGCCTCCCCAGCCATGTGGAACTGTAAGTCAATCAAACCTCTTTTCCTTATAAATTACCCAGTCTTGGGATTTCTTCATAGCAGTGTGAGAATAGACTAATACAGATGTTATCTATAAATCTAGGGACCTGATCTTTCCATGATGTTAAACAACATCTTATACATTCCTGAAGTCAGTTGATGCTGGTCCGAGATGAAAAGGGTGTTTAGAAAGAGGCTGACAGACTGTTGGTGTCCCCTATTCACTGACCCTTGGGGACAGAAGGGAAGCAACAGAGGGAGTGCTTCCTGGGAGATGCTGTGAGTGCCTTTCTCTTCCTACTGGAGTGCCACCCTCTGAAGGTTCTGCTGACCTCCAGTGCTCAGAGAGTCTCCAGGGAAGGCTTGAGACTTGATACTTTCCATCAGCCATGTGGGAAGATAGTGCTGAGGTTAAATAGAACAATGAGGTTATTACTGAGGAAGCAAAAGGGAAGTGCAGTTTTGAAAGGGTCTTCAGTGCCGTGCTTAGTGTTCAGGTCTGTGGGTGGATTTTTTTCCTCCTAGAATCAGAGTTCTTCCAGGCCAGGGAATGAGTTTCATGCACCTGTGTTTGGCATGGGGTAGTACCTGAAAGATCTAGCAAGGACATTAATATAAAAATTAACACTAAATTCTTGGAATCTGTTTGCTAGATTTGCATCCCATTTTGACAGATCAGGAGTGGCATTTAAGTTGCAGCTCTATGACAGAGGGTGGTCAGGAGGTGGAATTCTCTGAGAGAAGAGGTGCCAACCAGGGCAAGCATTGCTGTTGTGCATTCACTGGGTTCTGCTACCAGCTCTATCATGCTCTGGCCATGTGATCTGTGATGAATCTTAAAAGCTCTGCCCATGTTACACTACTGTGAGGATCGTAGGTGATAGCCCCACTGTGGTAAATATTAGGTGATCATGGGGATGATTTCCATAATTGGGGTAGGAAAGCCCCTCAGAGATGATATAGCCTGGAATTGTTCAGACTATGAGATACGAACTATGAAACATGAAATTCACTTAGTGGATCTACCAGCAATTTTTTTTTAAAGAAATGTATTAGAATGAAATAGATAAAAAGCAAATGCAGTAAAGTTAATAAAGATGGATACTTTATCAGGTCAGCAAGTAAAATGCCTATTTTTACTGTGGATTGTAGTAACAACAAGTTTTTAAAAATCATTGTTCTCATCCAACATTCTCGTTTTCCAAAGAAAAGACAAGCCAAGGAAGAACACAAGCAACTCCACAGAGATTATTGTTTGTCATAAAAGTGGACAGAGGCAGCCTGCCTGCTATATTTGAGTCTACTGAATAGTGATGGCAATTCGCAACTGCGCGGGCTGATTTAGGCATATTCCTGATAGTGACAGAACTGATACTAGATGATTCCAAGCTCCCTCCATGAGTCTAGGTTTTCTAAGTGATGCAAATTAACCACAGATGAGCTTCTATTTCCTTTTTTAAACTAATATTCTGCCTTTCTTCTAAAATTTTTGTAATGACCTCTTCTGTTGTCCATGTGGATTGTGGCAACAGAGTTTGGTTATATGACCCATCTTTTACTCACATTAAATAGACAACTATGAGCCCCATTTCACAGAGGTGCCTTTATAGGAAGATGTCATCCCCATTCTATAAGTGTAGCAACATGTTGATGAGCCATCAACATATTTCTAGCCACCATTTACCTATAGTGTCTTTTAGGAAGAGCTGTCCTATTCCGCATTTGCCATACTAGATCTGAGTCCCCTTCCATTTGTCTTATCACTCTGTTTCCTTCTGGCACTGAGCACACTACTACGATGTCTGGTTGGTTTGTCTTCCACACTAGACCATGAGCACCATGAGGACAGAGACGCTGTCTTTTCACATGGCGTTCTCTCTGTCTGATTTGAAATATTCAATAAACATTCGTTCTTTAAATGATTTTAATCATGCCATGGCCTCTTTTCCTCTCAATTTTATTAATCTTAGTGTTACTACTTTACACTTAGCCCAATGTTCTTGCTGCCTAAATAAATGCCTACATATGGCCCATTTTGGAGGAAATGCACCTGCTTGACTCTCATCTTCCCAGACTTCAGGGCTTTTAACTGAAGGGGTATGTTATTTCCCAAAACACACCAGTCTTCCCCGTTTAATCTGTGTGCCAACGGTGATTTTTTTTGCCATAAAATTCCACTGATCCTTAAACTGAACCTGCTTCTCTGCATTTTTTTTTTGATCACTTGAGCTTGATAGTCAGGGAAAGAATGAATGAAAAATGTGCTTGGTCAAATCACTGTGATTATGGACCAGAACATTTCATGTAATGGGGCCTCAGAGACTGCAAGGCACCACAGGTGATGGCCTTCCCAGGTAGACGATGCATTTAGAGCGGTAAAACTGCAAAGGCTTGGTGGCCAGTGCTGCAATGTTGACTGTACATCTGAGACCACATAGGTTTCAGCTGAATCCCTTCTGTATTCAATGATGATTTATTAGACTCCCACACAGGTAGGATTTGCCTTTGAATAAGTAAATGATTCTGTTCTGTGCTAGCTTAGAACTTGATCTTGTCTCCTTTGGATGAGAGAAGGCTGTTATCATGGACTTGGCTCATCAATCAATCAATCAGGAGATGATGAGTGGGTTGTACGGATAATTAGTTTATTGGTGATGCTGTCTTCTGCTTG